TTCCTACAAACCATTGTGCAGGACTGATCAGCAGTTACAAGAAGCATTACTTGCAGTTATTGCTGCAAAAGGGGGTCACACCAGATACTGAAAGCAAAGATTCACATACTTTTGCCACAAATGTAAGCATAGAGTCCTTAAGAATATAATATAAAAGACTAACTGCAAACGTTTTTGCAAAGTGTAAACTATTAAATATAATCTACAAATCATGCAATACTGTACCAGTAAATAAGTGTTTTGAGGGCTTAGCTAAACTTTTTATTAAATCATTCTTTAATTTCACTAATCATTTTTTTTTTTTATTAAACACGGGGTCATTAATGATGCTTACATTATAAGGTGCAAATTAATACACAATGTATCTTTAATTTGGCCAGAATTGCGGGTGCTTGTCTTAATATACAAGAAGGTTTAGAGAAAATATTAAATAAGTTGTTAATAAATGTTATTATAGATTATAGAGTGTTTTAAAATTAAATATATCCGAAAGGTCATCTAAAATTACCATTATTTTTTATTTGGAAGAAGATACAGGGTTCCATTATGCAGGCATAATCGGTATAAACACTCATGTGTTCCATCTGTTAAATTAATTAATGAACAATTGTGACAGGACGTTTAAAACGGAAAGAAGGAAAATTGCATCCGTTGGTATGAGATAACAGAGTGGTGTTGTGTGGTCTCTTTTTAAGTAATATATTATTTGAATGGCACTGTTTTTATGATGAGGGATTATAGGATTGGAAGGATTATTAATGTTGTATGTTGTATGATTTTCTATGTGTTGATGTGCGACAAATTTCGCCCAAGGGAGACAATAAACACGACCTTGACATCAATAAAAATTATCTGGTCCTTGTCAGGTTTAAAATTTGGAAATAAAACCTCAGATGAACAACATCACATGACGTATCACATGACGTGTCATTATTTAATTAACAAAAATAAAGCAAAGATGGAAAAGCCATGTGTGACAATGTTAGGACACCCTATTTTTTAATTCTCTAAGATTTAAAAAAAAATAAATTGCTACATGTACTGCATTAAGCTAACTGAGACTTGTTATAGCACTTGCATATCATTGCTCTTTTGTTGATTTTGATTGCTTCCATTGTTCTCATTTGTAAGTCGCTTTGGATAAAAGCGTCTGCTAAATGTCTAA